GTCAAGGGATATGGAACCATTGCCAAGCCCTTGACAACACTGCTCAAGAAAGGGCAGTTTGGCTGGAATGATGAAGCCAACAGTGCATTTGAAGCACTGAAGACAGCCATGATCAACACACCAGTGCTGCAGCTGCCCAACTTCAACAAAAGCTTTGTAGTAGAGACTGATGCCTGCCAGCATGGGATTGGGGCTGTTCTGATGCAAGAAGGACACCCCATTGCTTACCTTAGCAAAGCACTGGGACCAAGGAATGCTGGATTGTCCATATATGAAAAGGAATTCCTAGCCATTCTCATGGCAGTACAGAAATGGAGATCATACTTGATTTGTGGAACCTTCACTATTAGAACAGACCAGAAGAGTCTCAAGTATCTCTTGGAGCAGAAGTTGTCTACTCCACTGCAGCACAAGTACCTAGCTAAGCTAATGGGGTTCAATTACAAAATAGAGTACAAGAAAGGAGCAGAAAACAAGGCTGCTGATGCACTTTCAAGGAGAGAGGAACCACTGGAGGTATCACAGATCACCATCCTCCAACCAATGTGGGTGCAAGAAGTAGAGGAAAGCTATATGAATGATAAAGAAGCAGAAGAAGCCATTGTAGAGTGCACCATGAGACCAATGGATGTTTCCTACTTTGAGTACGGTGAAGGGATTTTGAGGTGCAGGGGGAAGATTTATGTGGGGAGTAATCTTTATTTTAGAAGAAAAATCATAGAGTTCATACATAACTCTAGTTTTGGGGGGCATTCAGGGATACAAGCCACCTTTCAGAGAGTCCAAGTTACTTTCTGGTGGCCACAGATGAAGTTACAAGTGGAGGAGGTAGTTAAGGAGTGCCACATATGCCAGATTAACAAGCATGAGAGTGTAAGGAATCCTGGCTTACTGCAACCTCTTCCCATACCAGACCAAGCATGGTCCCACATCTCCATGGATTTCATTGTGGGGCTGCCAAATTCTAGAGGAAAGGATATCATATGGGTAGTTGTGGATAGATTGACCAAATATGGGCATTTTATTGCTCTCAGCCACCCCCTTACAGCTTCTGTGCTATCTAAAGTCTTTATTGACACAGTGTACAAGTTGCATGGGCTCCCTACTAGTATTGTGTCTGATAGGGACCCCATTTTCACTAGCAACTTCTGGAAGGAGCTCATGAAGGTCTTGGGGGTGCAGCAGCAAATGAGCTCTGCTTATCATCCTCAAACAGATGGTCAAACAGAAAGGGTGAACCAATGTTTGGAAACATACTTAAGGTGTATGTGTGGTCACTACCCTAAAGAGTGGAGTAACTGGATTTCCTTAGCTGAATGGTGGTACAACACCAGTTATCACACCACCATCCAGAGAGCACCTTTTGAGGCTCTGTATGGGTATGCTCCCCCTCAGATGGGATATGGCCCTCATCTAATGCCTAAGACAGTGGGAGTGGAGACTTGGGCTAAGGAACATCAAGCCACTACACAGAAACTCAAGGAGTTGCTGAGGCAAGCTCAGGAAAGGATGAAGAGGTTTGCTGATCCCCACAGAAGTGAGAGGACTTTTGAAGAAGGAGAATGGGCTTACCTGAAACTGAAACCCTACAAGCAGCTCAGTCTGAGGAAGAGTAGGGTGTGGAAACTAACCCCTAAGTACTGTGGGCCATTTCTTATCCTAAGGAGAATTGGAGAGGTTGCTTATGAGTTGAAACTGCCTGATAACGCCAAAATTCACCCTGTTTTCCATGTTTCACAGTTAAAGAAGAAGGTAGGTAAGTCTGATAGAGTGGTGGAGGAACTGCCTCCACTGGATGAGAAAAACCAAATTATGCTTGTCCCGGAGAAGGTGTTGGAGCGCAGATTGGTGAAGAGGAAGAATGCAGCTGTGGGGCAGTGGTTAGTACAATGGGCACACTTGCCAGTTGAGGAGGCCACATGGGAAGATGGGGAGGAGATGTTGAAGAAGTACCCAAATTTTCAGCCATGAGACATGGCTGAAGTAAGGGGGGAGGAGTGTGATGATTGGCTGAGTAAGGAGGGAAGGGGGGTCTTTTGAATTAGTAATACTACGTCGTTTTGAGAAGAGTTGTGTTTCACTTATAAAAACGTGTTATGAGATAACGTTTTATAATTAAAAAGGGCTGACTCGTGAGTAGCACGTGAGGGTTGCATGGCTGTCATAAACCCTACGTTTTTGGTAACCCTAGCTATATAAATGGAAAGTGGAGGAGAAACCCTCCAAGTTTGGACTAGCTAGTGTAGTTAGGGTAGGTAGCAGTAGTAGTCTTTTTGCAGCTGCCATTTGATCTTGTGTAAGGCTTTATTTATTGTGTTTTCCTTTTCTTGTATGGATTAAAGACTCACTTTTGGAGTTGGTAATGCAAGAACCCTATTTTCAGTTTTATTGTGTTTTGCTGATTTCTTATGTTAAAGCTAGTCCATGACAGAGATCGGTTACAACTCCTACGAGGGCGAAATCCCGTGGCAATTCGGTAATATGAGCAATCTCCAGTACCTCGATATCGCCGACGCAAATATCTCCGGCCAAATCCCTAAACAGCTCAGCAACCTCACGAAACTCGAATCGCTCTTCCTCTTCAAAAACCAACTCACCGGAAAACTCCCGCCGGAGCTCAGCAAAATCTCGACCCTCAAAAGCTTAGATCTCTCCGACAACCTCATCTCCGGCGAAATCCTGGAGATTTTCTCGGAGCTAACAAATTTAACACTGCTGAGTTTGATGTACAATGAATTATCTGGCCCCGTTCCTCAATCCATAGCCAACCTCCCAAATCTCGATACTCTCCTTATATGGAACAATTATTTCACCGGCTCACTCCCACAGAATTTAGGGAGAAACTCTAAACTCCAACACGTCGACGTTTCGACAAATTATTTCTCCGGTAATATCCCACCGGAGATATGCTCCGGTGGGGGCTTACTCAAATTAATCCTGTTCTCGAACAATTTCACCGGTGGGCTTTCTCCCTCCCTCTCCAATTGTTCGTCGCTCATTCGCCTCCGAATCGAAGATAATTCATTTTCTGGCGAGATTTCTCTGCGGTTTTCGAATCTCCCGTTTATTTCGTATGTGGATCTTTCGAGAAACAAGTTCACCGGAGGAATCCCCTCGGATATTGCTCTTGCCTCGTTTCTCGAGTACTTCAACGTGTCCGATAATCAAGAACTCGGAGGAGAAATACCGTTGAAGACGTGGTCTCTGCCTAATCTTCGCAACTTTTCGATGGAATCTTGCGGCATATCGGGGAATATTCCTCCTTTCGAGCCCTGCAAATCGGTTTCGGTTCTTGAATTGAGAACCAACAACTTAACCGGAGGAATCCCGTTAACCGTGTCTAGTTGTAAGCAGCTCTTGAAAATGGACGTAGCTGAGAATAACTTGAATGGCTCGATACCGGTGGAGCTGGCTACCCTGCCCGTACTTACCGAATTAGACATTTCACACAATGGCTTCTTCGGTCCGATCGAGGGCGTTTTCAGAAATTCACCTAGCTTGAAACTCCTCAATGTGTCATACAACGATATCTCAGGCCCGATTCCTTCGAGCAGCACTTTCGAAAAAATGGATATAACCGCTTTTTTGGGCAATCCAAAGCTATGTGGCCCCCCTCTAAGGCCTTGCAAAAACGGGATTTCGAGTGAATTGGAAATAGGAAGCCGGAGAGCACAGAAGCTAGCTTGGATTGTCGTACTATGTGCTGTCACGATTCTATTCGTAACGGGTTCGGTTTTCGTAATACTTCACTTGAGAAGAAGAAGCAACAAAGGCCAATGGAAAATGGTTTCCTTTAGCGGACTTCCTCAGTTTACAGCAAAGGATGTGTTGAGGAGCTTTAATTATACAGAACAAGACTCGTTCGGTAAAGTGGTTTTACCGACAGGAATCACTGTTTCGATCAAGAAAATCGAGTGGGGCTCGAACGAAGCGGAAATTAGGCTGCAAAATTTTATGAGGATTGGAAATGTGAGGCACGAGAATTTGACGAGATTGTTGGGAGTTTGCTATAACAACCATTTTGCGTATTTGTTGTACGAATATTTGCCAAACGGGAGTTTAGCAGAGACGATTACAATTAGGAGAGAGTGGGGGAGTAAGTGTAGAATAGTAATTGGAGTTGCTAAGGCACTTTGCTTTCTTCACCATGGCTGTTATCCAGCTATCCCACATGGAAATCTCGAGGCTAAAAACGTACTTTTCGATGAAAAACGGAGCCCCGTTTGGCTGAATACGGGCTCCATTCAATTGCGGAACCGAGTCAAAGCCCACTACTAGTAAAGAGTACAAAGGAGAGAGGTAAAAAATCAAGAATGCTTTAATCATTTTATTTTTTTGGCTAGTTAACTTTAGTTAAAGATATTCAAGATTTGCTTTGTGTGTGTGTGTGTGTGGACAGGTGGATTTGGAGCACCATTGATAAAGGATGAGCTGTGCATGGATGTATACAATTTTGGTGAACTCGTACTCGAGATTTTATCGAACGGTAGAGTGGCGAGTGCATCGGAGATTATGGAGAAAAATAAACGTGATAGTTTCGTAAGAGAAGTTGCTGATAATTCGTTCAAACAGGAGGTGGATTCGGTTATTGAAGTTGTTCTGCTCTGCACGAGAAGTAGGCCGTTCGAGAGACCTTCGATGCAAGAATTACTAAAGCTGTTATCGGGGCTTAAATCGGTGAAGAATGGCAATGCTTGTAAAGCATGAATTAGGTGTGAGTTTCAAATTTCATCAAATTTGTAGAATTTTTTATTATTTTTTTTTTATTTTAAATTTTAATTTTTTTTTGTGTGTGTGTGTGTTTTGATTGATGAATGTATCAGAAACAATTTGCTGTGAATTAGAATGTGTATATATTTATTGTTTATTATAAGGTGTTTCTAAGTGTAAAATCATAGTGTTGAGGTTACTTTGTTGTTCTACTATGCAGTTCAAGTTGCTATTGCATTATTTGGTACCCGAAGGAACCGGCCATGATAATTTTTTCCATCCTGCTTATATTTTTTTTTTTGATAGGAAAACGAACATATATTAATCATGAATAAAAGAGTCAACAAGAGGGTAGCCAATGTCACAAAAACAAGAAATAGGAATAAAACTAGAAGAGACAACACCATTCCAATTTAAATTAAAGGCCCAACGAGCAAGGTTATGAGCCGACAAATTGGAATTCCTTGGGCAGAATTTGAATTTCCACTTTGGCCAGAGAGACCAATATCTTTTAATCTCATCAATGAGAGGAGAGGAAGGCCAGTGAGATTGAGGAGTGTCATCATTGATGTAGAGGATTGCATTGAGGCAATCAGCTTCAAAAATTGCGTTTTTGATATTTGCTCGCTTGATGAAAGAACATGCGTCTCTGATTGCAAAAGATTCAGCCATAGTAGAGTCGTGACAGTGGTACATAGAGGAATGAGCGTACACAATTGAACCATTGAAGTTTCTGATGATGAAGGCAGCTGAAGCAGTGCCATTGATGAATGAACAATCCGAGTTGATTTTATACCATCCTACAGGAGGTTTACTCCACTGTTGAGAGATATGCTTCCCAGCTTTGAGGGCACATGCAAGTTGGCTAGTCCAGTGAGAGGTAGCCTTGTTGGTCACAATAGGAAGTAAATCCTGCAGAGAAACAGGGGGCAAGCCGTGAGTGATCAAATTTCTATTAGTCCAAATAGCATAAAAAAAAACAGCAACAGTAACAAGAAACTTTTCTCTAATAATATTAGAAGGGAAAACTCCACCATTATTTTTAAGAATAAGAGCTAACCATTCTTGTTAAGTGTATATTTTTACACTTTATCATATCTTTTTATTTGAGCTTTTGGTGTGTTTTAATGATAATTGGTGCTTAAAAAGTTGATTTATTGTATTTTAGGTACAAATTGAAGAATTGGAAAAGTATGGGGTCAAAACTGCAATTTTGGCGAAAATATGGGTCAAAAGTGAAAATATCAAAATTCTGAAGATTTAATGCTGAGACCCCCGTCCCAGTTTTAGTGCAAATCGTGGGACCCCCGTCCGAGAATCCGAAGTTGCGCAGAAAAGGGATTTTAATTGCACAAGGAAACTGCCTTCTTCCGCAAGTTCTTCACCCTATATAAGACCAAGCCAAGCACACAATTGGGGATCAATCTTTGGACGCAAATTCAAGAGCATAGAAGATCAACGAAGATTCAAGCATAGTTTTTCTTATTTAATTTATTTATTTTATTTTATTTATCATAAGAATTACGAGTAGCTAAGTTTTTATTTCTAGGATTTTATTTAGAACCCTATGTGGGATTTATGAACTCAATTCTATGATTTTATGCAAGTTTTAATTCCGGATTATTTCTTCTACTTGTTTTATTAAGTTCATGAAACTGGTCACTTTATGCGCTTTTATGTTATTGTTAATCGCATGAATCGGAAGATCGGGTTAATAATTAGAACTGTGGTAGAAGAGCCTTTGTGGTATTAACATAGGAATATAGTTAATCTCTTAGGTAGCCATTATTGAGATTTGTGCTTAATGCTGTGTTCTAGAATTAATTGCATAGGAATATAGTAATTGAATCTAGAGTATTAGAATCGTAATACACGCGGAAGCGGGTTATGATTATTTTAGCATCTCAGGTTAGTAATCCGGGTTAATTGCTTGCATAATTGAAAGAATTGGGGGAATAATAATCACATAGGGGGAAGAATAAAATCCTAGGCTTGCTTATCTTGATTAAATCTTCGTTTTAAATTGCTTTCTTGTTTTTGCCTGTCTTTTAATTTATTTTAATTTAGTTAATTCTCTTTAAAGTCGACTGTGTAGGGTGGGCTTGATAATAATTGGTAGAATTTAGCGTCTAGGATTAGATAATTAAATATTCCCTGTGGGTTCGATATCCGGACTTTTAGTCCACTATATTACTTGTACGATACGTGCACTTGCGTGTAGGTTTTCGACCAACAGGTAGCCTTGTTGGTCACAATAGGAAGTAAATCCTGCAGAGAAACAGGGGGCAAGCCGTGAGTGATCAAATTTCTATTAGTCCAAATAGCATAAAAAAAAACAGCAACAGTAACAAGAAACTTTTCTCTAATAATATTAGAAGGGAAAACTCCACCATTCTTTTTAAGAATAAGAGCTAACCAATCCTTAATAGTGTAATTATTGAAAGACTCAAGAGAAAAGTTCCAGTTTGAGATGAAAAATAGTTGTTTAATAAAGACACAGTTAATAAAAATATGATCAACAGATTCAGGAAGTGAATCACAAAGAGGGCATTGAGTGGGAATAGAGGGCAGGAAGATGCTAAGTTTAGATCTGGTAGGGAGGATATTATGAATGATTCTCCAAAGGAAGAGTTTATGCCTGTTATGAAGCTTAGCAGTCCAAAGGGACTTCCAAGGAAAAGTGTTGGCATTAAACGCATTATCAATTCTGGAGGAACAATCAGTGAGGTAAGCACTCTTGGTAGAGAAGGTTCCTGACTTGGAGGAAGACCAAAAGAGTGACTTTGGTTTGAAAAAAGGAGAAATGTGGATTTTCCTTATTTCCTTGACCACAACAACAGGGAAAAGCTCAGCAAGGAGACTAATATTCCATGAAAAAGAGGTAGGATCAATGAGATCTCTAACCAGAAGATGGGGGATGAATAAGGAACAAATGAACCAGGAGGGCAAGGTTTGAAGAAGGGGATAGAAGGGATCCATGGGTCATCCCAAATAAGAACATCAGAGTTGATAGTGATGGAGAAGCAAGCTCCTTTGTGAATGAGATCTTTGGAAGTAAGAATATCTCCCCAGAGTCTAGAAGAAGATTGAGGTTTAGGATTCTCAGTAAGGAAGTTTTTATGGCCAATGTATTTAGCAATAAGGAGTTTGACCCAAATTTTTTCCTCAGAACATGCAATGGACCAGGCCAGCTTAGAAAGTAAGGCTCTGTTAAAGTCCGAAGTTCTTTTGAACCCCAACCCACCCACAAATTTAGGGAGACATATACTATCCCAACTTTTAGGCATGTAAGAATTTCCATTTGAGTTTTGACCCCACCAAAATTTCCTGAAAAAAGCATCAATCTTGTAAGCTATGCTGCAAAGGAGGAGGTTGACAGCCATATGGTAAGAAGGAATAGCCTGAGCAACAGAAGAGATGAGCACACTTCTACCAGCTTGAGAAAGGGTTTTTGCTTTCCATCCCGAGAGTCTAGCATTAATTTTGTCAACGAGATCAGAGAATGAAGCAGTTTTGGATCTTTGGTGGCAGAATTGGAGGCCAAGATGTTTTTCCTTGTGGGAGCATTCTCTAAATCTAAGGAAGGAGAGAATGTGATTTTTTAAGTGTGGGGGAGTATTATCACTGAAATGAATGGATGATTTTTTAGGATTGGGGAACTGGCTAGTCCACATGGAGAATTTATCCAATGTGTTTCTAATGCAAGCAACATCCTCAATGGAATTCCTGCAATAGAGAATGAGATCATCAGCATAAAGGAGATGAGTGAAAGAGGGAGCCGTTCTGGAGACTTTAACTCCTCTGAAATGGTCAAGACTTTCCTCCAAATTAAGTAATCTTGAGAGAACTTCAGAGTAAAGGACAAAGAGGAAAGGTGAGAGAGGATCACCTTGTCAGATGCCTCTAGAGGGAATAAGATTACCTATTGGAGAGCCATTGATTAGGAAAGAAAAAGAGGAGGTGCCTAAGCACTACATGATCCAGCCTGTGAACTTGCTGCAGAAACCAAGGTTAGACAGAATGCATTCAATTAATTTCCATTCAACTCTATCAAAGGCCTTAGAAAGATCAACTTTAATAGCAAGAAAACCTTTTTCTCCTTTCTTTTTGTGAAGATAGTTCATGATCTCATGAGAGACAATATTATTGTCATGGATATTTCTATCTTTGACAAAAGCCATTTGAAAGGGAGAGATGATGGAATTGAGAAGGGGTTTAAGCCTATTTGCAAGAATTTTTGATATAACTTTGTAGGTGATATTGCAAAGGCTAATGGGTCGGAATTGATCAACAGAAGTGGGGTGGGGAATTTTGGGGATTAAGGCAATGAAAGTGTGGTTCAAAGCTTTAAGAAGGAATCCATTTAAAACGAAATGTTGGACAGCTGCAACCAGAACAGGACCAGTAGTTTTCCAGAATGATTTGAAGAATAAGGGAGGCATTCCATCAGGCCCGGGGCTTTTGTTGGAAGCAAAGGGAAAAAGGGTGGTTTTAATGTCTTTGAAAGAAGGGATTTGACAAATCTCACTATTGGTATCATCAGAGATGATGGGAGGGAATAAGTTATCCAGATTAGCAGGAAAAGGGAGGGAATTGTTAGTGTAGTCTGAAGAGAAAAGGTTGGAATAATAATCAAGAAAACAAGAGCCAATTTGATCATTATTATACACTAGGTTCCCACCAGAGTTCTTAATAGAAACAATTCTATTAGTTCTGCCATGAATAATGGACGAGAGGTGAAAGAATTTAGTATTAGCATCACCCTCCTTAAGCCATTTTTCTCTAGATTTTTGTTTCCAGAAGATTTCAACTCTTTTGAGCCATCCATCAAGCTCAAGTTGCAATTTTTTCTCCAAAGACACATTTTCCTCAGACTGATCAGCAGTTTGGATAACATTGATTTTTTCTTTAAGGAGCTTAATAGAATAATGACAATTACCAAATTTAGAAAGATTCCAAAGTTTAAGAGCTTTCCTGACATTTTTGATCTTTGAGTGAATTTGGTAGTGGGGGGAACCTCTGCAAGAGATCTTCCAAGCTGTAGAGACTGTATCAAAACAAGAGGAATCTTCAAGCCACATAGCTTCAAAACGAAAAGGTTTAGGACCATTAGAGATGGAGATGGAGGTATTGAGAAAGAGAGGGCAATGATCAGAGGAGAAGGCAGGAAGATGAAGAACACTAGCATGAGGGAAGGAAGAACACCAGAGAGAGTTTGCAGTACTCCTATCAATTCTTTGTTGAATGTTTTTGGAGCCAACACGTTTATTGTTCCAGGTGAAAGGTCTACCATGAAAACCCAGGTCAATAAGGGAAAGAGAGTTTAGGTCAGAGAGGAGCGAGTGATTGGAACAGAGTTGAAATCACCCATAAGAAGCCAAGGCCCATCCGTGACATCATGAATAGAATGGAGTAGATTGGAGAAGGTTTGTTTGCCAAGAGAAGAGCAAAGGCAGTAGATGCCTGTAAATTGCCAAAAAGGGAGGGAGGGGTCACAAGAGACAAAAGCATTGATCAGAAAATTGTTTTGGAGAGTTATGTTCACCGAAAGGTTTGAGGTCCAAGCAAGACAAAGACCTCATGCCAGACCAACAGGTGGAACGAAAACTTGATTAACAAGAGAGCAAAAAGAAAGAGCTTTAGAGATAGAGTGGGTGGAAGAAGTTTTAACTTCAGAAAGGAAGAGAAGATCAGGGGAGGAAGAGGATAAGAGCTGTTTTAGAGCTCTTACTGCCTTGGGTTGAGCCAACCCTTGGCAGTTCCAGGCAATGATTTTCATTGGACTAGTTTCTTGACCCCTCTGGGCCTGCGTTTTTGGTTGGGTTTTTTTGAGTGGTGATTGGTGAGTCCACCAAAGTATCATGATCTTCCGGGATTTCAGTAATCAAGACAAAAGATTTGCTTAGTCTGTGGAGAAAAGGAGTTCCAATTCTAGTTCTTGTAATCTTGAAGATTTTCCTGTCTATTCCATCTGTAAAAGATGGAGCCATGGATATCTCAAATGTGGGGCTTATAGAATTTGGAAGGATGTCCCCCAATGACTCTGTATGGGATAAAAGAGGGGAATCAAAGGTTGTAGGAAGAGGTTTAGAAAGAGCGAGGCTTGTACGGAGGTTTGGAGATGAGGAGAGAATAAGTTTATTCAGGTTAAGAGATACCAGGTCAGACAAGACTTCTACACCAAATTGAGACATTTCGAATTTGATTTTTTTTTTCCAGTAGATTGGGCCAGATCAAGGTTTCTTTTGTAATTAAGAACAGGCCCAGTAGAGGGGCATTTAATCTGGCTTTTAATGGATGTATTTTTCAGCCCAATAAAGGGGGTCCACATATTTGGTGATATAGCTATTTCTCTAGTCTTTTTTGGCGGGAGATTTGAGAATCGATTTTCAAAGGAAATAGACTTTTTTGGATTGACTTGGGCAAGATGAACGTAAGGGAGAGGCACATTATCCAACAAGGGATTTTGGTGATCCTTAGAGTCATATCCCATTAATATCTTTGACATGTCTTTATCAGCAAAAGGAATGACTCTAGAGTAGGTAGGGGGGGTACTAGTTTATTTAAACTAGAAGGGGAAGATGGCCATCCAGATCGTGCCACGTCTTCAACCATAGGTTCAGCAGAAGAATGGAATAGGGTAGGTGTTGGAGTAGGGGGAGGCTTAGAGAGGCTGGGACTATTTCCGGCGAGATTATCCGGTGGGGGGGTGGTTCCGGTTGGTGTAACATGGAGGATTTTTTTGTGAATTGTGGGAAAGTGTGGGTTGGGAGTGAGTTGGTTTTCAGATTTTAACCATGGTCCAAACCTACACATTGAGATATCCAAGCCCCCATCTTTTGGGGCAGATAGACAGGTGGCTATTCGTATATGGATGTTTATATACAGTACATCAACTTGTAGTATACTACGGAGTACTATGGTATACTGCGCAGTACTATGGTATACTATGGTGTACTATTCCAAACCCTAGCCGCGAACCCTAGCAGTCGACGCAGCCGCCGTCAAACCCTAGCAGCCAACAATTACAGCCGTCGCACCCGTAGTCACCTACCTTCTTTTGAAAACCCTAGATCTGGAATTTTGAACCCTAACGTGTGCCGCCACACAATCGTTGCCCTAAGAACGTTTTCAATAACCTGTAACAAATCGAATAAAAATAACAAATCAGATTCAAACCAAGCCAAAACTCTTTAAAAAATCAATAAAAACATATGCAATTAGTCAAAATATACTTTTAATCACAGATCTATACAAAAAAAATTGAAGAAAATTAGCAAATCTTTATAAGAGAAACCACCGCGGCCGCCTCCATAGAGAGACGACAGATCCAAACCACCGCGGCCGCCTCCACCACCACTTCCTCCGTCGCTCCCCTCCTCCTCTCTTGGTCGCCGACCTTTGTGCTTGATGGAGAAGCAAGATAGAGATGTAAAGAGAAAAACAGATAGAGAGAGAGATTGACATACAGAAGACGAGAGATAGGGGGAAAGAGAGAAAACGAGAGAGAAGACGGAATAAGAGAAATAAATCTGAGATGCGAAACGTGATATATGTAAGTTATAAGATTTAAGGTATAAGGGCAAGATAGGGATTTAAAAAAAATTAGGGATGTGAGTAATATATTATTTCAAACTAGGGATTTAATTAAAAGATTGGATTTTAACTTGTCATTTAGTTCAAATTAGGTTTGATTTGAGGGACTCATAGCATATTAACCCTTAAAAGAATTAATTTTGAATGAATTAATTTATAATAAATTTTAAATCTTTACACTCTTAAGTTGCAATATTTGTTTTTTTTTTTTTTTTTCTTTTTTAATTTAAGTTTGAAAATCATTGATTCAATGATCAACATAAAGGGATCATTATTAATTAGTAGAAATCAATATATAAGGGCCAACTGTTGAAAGATAAATTACATAAAACGAAACTATTTTATAAGTTTCGATTCTATTCCTTTTTCAGGTTCGATTATTTACCCTTTGCGTCATACATAAGCGAAGAATTCAATTTTTCGAAAGTAAAAAATCATACCAAATATTTTGATATTCATAACAAGCTAGCTCCATGTTTCGGTTTTCGATTTTTTTCACACACCCGTAAGCCCTATGATCATAAAGCATGTGGGCTTTGCCAAGCCCGGAATATATACGTCTTTATTCATGACATTTGATTTAATAAAAAAAAAAAATTGTTAATAACTGTTGGGTATCCGCCCAAAGAAGACAAACCACACAAAATCAAAATACTTAT